CTGAAGCCTAAACCCTAACCTAAACCATAAACCCCTCAACCCTAAACCCGAACCCTAACGCTTCCTGTTGCAACGTCAACAATGCAGACCGAAGCTCCAGCGCCAACCACCGTGAGCCCTGAAGCGACACGGAAAGAGCACTAACCTTTGGGCTTTAGCGGCAACTTTGGCGCCTAAACCCTAAACCCCTAAACCCTAAACCCCTAAACCCCTAAACCCCTAAACCCCTAAACCCCTAAACCGCCAAACCCCTAAAGCCCTAAACCCCTAAACCCCTAAACCCCTAATTAAGCCCTAAACCCCTAAACCCCTAAACCCGAAGCCCTAAACCCCTAAACCCCTAAACCCGAAGCCCTAAACCCCCAAATACCCTAAACCCTAGATGGGCCGAAGCTGCGCACAAGCCTCAAGCTTGCGTCTCAGAAGCCTCGAAAGCTGGGGATGTGAGGCTCTTTTAGGCCTTGGGGTTTAGGGTTTCGGGTGTAGGGTTTGGGGTTTAGGGGTTTAGGGTGTAGGGTGTGGGGTTTCGGGTGTAGGGTTTGGGCTTTGGGGTGTAGGGTTTGGGGTTTAGGGTTCGTTGGAGGTTTGGGGTTTAGGGTTTTCGGGTTCTTCTAGGGTTTAAGGAGTGTAAGGTGTCAGGGTTTCAGGATTTTGGGGGCTCTTGATGAAGTGCTACTGGACATCTGATGATGGAGCTTTGGGCTTTTGGGCTTTCGGGTAAACTTGAAATGTGTGTAGACGTCTAGTCGAGTTCTAAGGCTTGGCTAGTCGGCTAATCGAGTTCAAAGAATCTAGGGCTTCAGGGTTCAAGGTCTCTTATAAGGAAAAAATTTACAGGACTCCGATCAAGGTAGAAGCTTTTGGCCTTCAGGATTTTAAGATTATGATTTTTTTTCAAAAAAAAAGGCCTACATAATTACCCATATTATTTTGGGGATTCCTCGTTATAAATACTCTATACATAATGGGCCGCAAACCCCTATTCCAATTATTAAGGCCCCTGGTGTCACAAGGTTTCAAACCCTGTGTCCCGTCCTTGTCTTGCGGCGCGCACCCTAACTTCCGACATTTCCACAATCGTATTCCCCTTGGGCTTCCCTAGCTAAACCCTAAACCCTAAGCGCCGAACCCCTGAACCTAAGCATTTAGGCTTTTAGACAACACACTGTTCCCGAATCGGCACAGCCTCGCGACAAAACAACTGGAATGAAGGTTTGCAAGTCGTGAGGTTGAGAGTTGACGGTTTCGGGTTTAGCTGATGGGGTGCAGAGCTATTCAACCCTAACCCATTCAAGACATCTCCGAGCTACTCTCGGTGCACTTCGCTTTCGAAGACGCCCACGCCTGGGCCCAAGAGGAACGAAAAGCACCACGGCTTTAGGGTTTGGGGGTTTAGGGGCTTAGGGTTTAGGGGTTTAGGGGTTTAGGGTTTAAGCTTACGGGCTTAAGGGTTTAAGGGTTTAGGCTTGGAGATTGTTCCGAGGCTTCGGGGCAGACCCCAAACCCTGAACCCCGAAACAACAAGAAAGAACTAACTCGAAATCTTACTTGTCCAGTATCATAACGGACATGGAGCAAAGGTTATTAAGTTACCCTTTGGGGCTACATGGGGATTCTGGTTATTCTTGACAAGGTTACAAGCTACCTACGCTGTTCACAACCACAGCCCCGGCCAGCCCAGCCCAACCAGGCCCTGGAACAAAGCTGTCGCACAAAAAATGCTTCGCTCAGAACTTATCGGCACCCAAACTCTTAACAACTTCTTTAAGGTTCTGGCATAATATATGAATTAAGAATATGTTATATTACATTCTATAAATAAATATGTATATATATATATAAACAAATGTATCAGAGTGCTGTTGGACCAGAGGGCCTTGAAAACCTGAAACCCTTAACCCTTAGACCTGAACCCTTAGCCCTAAACCCTAAACCCTAAACCCTAAACCCTAAACCCTAAACCCTAAACCCTAAACCCTAAACCCTAAACCCTAAACCCAAACCTAACTTACGCCTGAACCCTTAACAACCTCTATAAAGCCCTTAGAGAGCCGAGCTCGATCTTCGCCTTCCTGGGTCATGGAGCCCAGTTGGTTGAAATTGCAGCTTCCACTCCGCTGTAGCACGCCTTGTCACGGATTAGGAGCTAGGGTCTAAGGTTTAGGGTTCAGGGTTTAGGGTTTAGGGTTTAGGGTTTAGGGTTTAGGGTTTAGGGCTTGGGCCTTGGGGTTTAGGGTCCAGGGGCACCGGCCAGCGGGAGTCATGTACCACCTGGCTGTAGTGACGTTCCAGTTCTTGGGCGCTGACGTGCCTTCTGTGTTCGCAGGTTGTACTCGCGCACATCTTGCCAGACAACCCTGAACCTAAACTCCAGAAACCCTGGAAACCTGCCGTTAGGGTTCCGGATCTGTGGTTTGGGGCCTTTTGGTATAGAACCCTTGTAGACCCCCTCTGCTAACTTATGAAATCAGGATAATGAAACCTTGTCTACCCCCTTACAGAAGCCCCACCCCGAAAAAAAAACGTATAAAGACCCTTCTAGAAACCCCTAAGGTGGCTCTTTATAAAGCCCCAAAATGTAACACCTTCCACAAACCCTAAACCCTAAACCCCTAAACCCTAAACCCTAAACCCTAAACCCTAAACCCTAAACCCCTAAACCCTAAACCCTAAACCCCTAAACCCTAAACCCTTGTAAGACCATGATTACATCCGGCATTAAGGGAATTACAAAGGAGAGCTCGCACCGGTCATTCCTCCCCCTTACGGGTTCCTTTACTTAGCGTTTAGGGTTTAGGGTTTAGGGTTTAGGGTTTAGGGTTTAGGGTTCCTTTAAGGGTTGCGTTTAAGGGTTCCGCTAAGGGATCGGCTCCTTCAAAAGGACCCTCAAGAGCCCACCCTTGAAATTATCCCAAGGAGCCCCTTTGAAGAGATCCCAGGGAACCCCATGTTTGCACCCTTTGGTGGCTCCCTAAGCAACCTTCTTGTCGGACCTCTTCAAGGGACCCCCTGTATAAACCCTAAACCCTAAACACCTAAGAATTCCCTCACGGGACCCTGTCAAGGGAGCCTCAGGAACCCATTCTTCTTGCACCCTGTAAGGAAACCCTGAATCCTAAACCCCTGAACCCGAAACTCCTTCTAAAGGCTCCCTAGAAGGCTCCTTTTGAGTAGGGTTTAGG